ATATATATAAACTTCCTATCATCCTGTCTAGGTAAGAACATGCAAAAATGATCATTAAATTACAAGCTAGTGTAGAATAAAGTGTTGAGAGGGACCTATAGACCAAAGTGGTTAAGGAAAGTGGAACTTCAGCAGAACCTTGAAGAATGGGCAAGATTACAGACTTTCTGGAGTCATTGAGGCTAGATGAATCCCTGAAACTGTTGCCCTGAGATGATCTTTAAACTTTTAACCTTAAACCAAAAAATATGCCCTGAAGTCGTCTTCAAACCAAATGGTAGTTTAGGTTAATTAGTAAAGAATGCCTGCCTTGACCATTGTGCTGTTTTAAAGAACTATCTGTGTAGGATCAAACTGACAACAGCAATTCCAGAAGTTAGATAGGAAGCTTAGGGGGTAGAGAGTTTATGTTAATGGGGGAGGATTGACTCAGAAAAGGAGGGTGAGAATGGGTGCACAACTTGAAGAGTGGAATTAGTGCCACTGAACCGTATGCGTAGAAGTTGTTAGTGTATGTTTTTGCTGAGTATGTTTTCAACAACAAAAATAATGCAAACAAACAAAAAGAATGGGCAGGATTAGATCGAAGTAGTGATAGAATTGCTAGACCAGGCATGAGTAAAGACCCAGAGGTGGGAATACACAGGGCATCTTGAGAGGAATAAGTAGATGAGTTGTGTTTAGGAAATAAGCTGGAAAGTTAGGTTGGTTCAAGATTGTAAGTGTCCTTGAATGCCAAGTGAAGGAGTTTGAAATTAGAGGCAGTAGGGAGCTATTGAAAGTTTCTGGGCAAAAGAAGCAGTTAGATGAATGAAGCGATTAGAGGCATGAAGACCAGTTAGGAAGCTAACTGCAGTTGTTCAGTTGTAAAGTAGTGAGAGCCTTAACTAGGAGAATGTCAGCAGGCAAAGATGACCAATTACTAAGACTGTTACAGAGGAAGAATGTTTTAATAGGCCAGGATTTCTTGGGGCACAATAAAGAAAATTCCCTTTTGTTGTGTATTGTTTACATATACAGACCTCACTTTTAATACCTGACAATACTACACTTCACTTTGGGCTTTGAGAGGTGACCAGAATGAACAAGGCAGTGTGTGTGTGCATGCGCACACGCTTAATCTTTTGAAAATTGTACAGTTGCACCCCAATTTCAGTGATAAGTCCCTTGCCTTTTATCTCTTTAAGGCCACCTGAAACCTTGAAAGCTGTTATTCTATTATCTGCAGAATGGGAATGATCATCCGCTTAGTGTGGAACAAGTTTTAAAAACTCATGCTTGACAGACTTTTAGAATTATCCAACTAAGAGTTCATTTTTATTTGGTTTCTCTAGCGGTGTTTGACACTAATGGATAGAGGATTTGTTTTCAATTTGATAAATGATTATATATCTGGATTCAGCCCCAAAGATCCTAAGGTGAGTTACGAAAACCTAGTTGACATGGATTGGATGTGAGACACTAGAATGGGAGACCAAGTGTAGCATTTGTTCTCCCCTGGAAGATTTAGAACTGCTGTTTTTACTAGATAGCAGGGAATATTGGATAGTGTTTTGTGGGTCCCCGAAGCCACCCACATGTTTGATAACTCACTGGAAGTACTCACAATACAGTCATACTCATGGCTAAGATTCATTACATCAGCACAGTAGGGATGCCCAGCCAGATCAATAAAGGAAAAAGACATCAAGCCGAGTCTGTAGGAATCTGTGTGCAAGCTTTCTAAGCATCTTTCCCTTCTGTGAGGGATCACATAGAGCACACCTTCCCTGCAGCAGGAAAAATGCGAGCACGCACGCACGTGCAGTGTTTTTCCTCAAGGAAGCCCATTTGAGACTCAGAGTTTTTATTAGGGGCTGCCCATGTAGGCACCCCTTGCCCATCAAAAGTCGAGACTCTCAGGAGAGCAGGTGTTCACCATAAATCACATTGTACAAATAGTCTAAGCAGGCTGGCACAGAAAGCACACCTTATCACATAGGGACTGTTTCAAAATCCAGTTTCCCAAATGCCAGCCAAGGGCCAACCTTGCAAGCAGGCCTTTGTAAGGATAGCCATCTCGCGCCTGCTATGTTAACTCTGCTGCACCGATCACAGCTCAAGCTATGCTGAGGATATTAAACACTTCTGTTGTGAAAATTAATGCTCTCTTTTAAATTCTTAAAATAATAAATACCTATTAAGTATGAGTTAATGCATAATTTCTTTCTGTTTAGGTCCTGGCTGAATACAAGTTTGAATTTCTGCAAACCATTTGCAATCATGAACATTACATTCCTCTAAACTTGCCAATGGCATTTGCAAAACCTAAACTTCAGCGAGTTCAAGGTAGGTATTTACATGTTCCATCGTTTGGAATGGTTTTTTTTTTCTTTCACTTTGTAGCTAGCGCTAGTTTAGCAGAGTGTTTTCTAGTTAAATCTGTCAACTTGAAGGTCACCTCAGAATTTTTACTCTCTGAAGATAGGTTCATTAATGGTATTCTGCATTTCTGCCATTTCCTTCATAGCAGCAGTGGTAGTACTAGTAGTATGAAGCGCTCACAGGTCTCTTCCATAGATTGTTGCTTAAACTGAGATGTCAGGTACTAGTAAAATTGCTCTCTCTAGTAGTGCGTAGAATCTTATATGAGACTAAGTTAAAGAAAATAATACATTTCTGCTGAAAGGAGCAACAAAAGAGAAATATAAAGGCAGAGTAAAATAGTAACATGTATGTATTAAATTTATCAAATGCCTTCAATTATCTCCGTTGCTAGTTTTATTGAATGCTTTGTTGTGTAGCACTATTCTTATGTTACTATGTTTTTTATTTGTCTTTTCTTTTCATATATTAATTAGATTTTTTTTCATTTGCGGTGGACCGTTTGACTTCAGTAGGTAGGTTTAACTCGGTTCACTCTAAAGTAGTTTGCTTTCTTTAAAAACAATTGGTTTGATGAATGGCTAACCTGGATGGGGGTTTTGTTTGCTTTTCAAATCCTTCATAGCCAAAACGAGGCTTTAATGAATGTACTCAGAAAACCTAGGCAGCAGTGTGTTTGTTTACTTGTAAAATAAGCCTTGAGTGTTGGTAGCAGAATCAACTTTAAAACTTCCACCCTCAGAAAACAAGTTTCTGCTGCAAGCCAGCATGAGGGCGAGGGATTGGGGTCAGAGGGTATCTGCTCTTTAAGTGTGTCATCTCTCTCAGGCTTACCTGCCTTCTCTCTCACCCTGTTTAATGATTATTTGGCCACAGTTTGAAAGTGTGGATGATACCAGAAACCACCTGATTGGATTTATTGAAATCACTGAAATAAAAAAATTAACCATTTGCAAAATCTACCCACGTAAGGCCACTTGTGTTAGTCCTTGTGCATAAAAAGTGATTGGGACTCACAAAGAGCATGACCAGCGGTCAGAAGAAAACTTCCTGCCTTGGTCTCTAGAGAAGCATCTCCTGAGTAGTGGAATCACAGCCTGTGAAAATGGAGACAAGATACTTAAAAGCCCAAACACACCTATTCAACCAACCCCCCTTATTCGATGCCGAGCATGTATAGCTCACATATTTCCCCAGTGTTCACTGATAGCTAAGAGTAAGTCAGGGAAAAGAAGAGATGTGGGCAGATCACCAGAGTTTAGGATTATTAAATCTGAGTACTCAAGGAGTGTTTATTAAGCCCATACTGAATACATAGCATTATATTATGTGCTGAAGAGGCCAAAAAAGAAATAAAAAAAACATATCCTTCAGCTTTATGGCCTAACCAAATTAAATTATTAGGACAGAGAAAATAAAAATAGTAGAAATTCTATTACGGAAATTACTAAACTTGATCTCAATCCCGTCTGAGTAATAGATACTTATAAGGCAAGTCCCAACCAGGATATTAGCAGCTAGGATTTAAAATGGAATGAGAATCTAAAGGGGAGTGGAAGACATAGTTTGAAGTGGTGATTTTATGAAATAAAATATTTGTGTTTGCGTGGTGATGAAATGGAGTGAGATGAGGCTGGTTTTCCTGTTCTTGTATCCCATTAATATATATTCAGGCCAATGTGTAACTTTTGCTAAAATAGTCAATAGTAATGTTAGAATGATTCAGTTGTCTAGTTTCTCTTCCTTTTCCCACTTAAGTATAAACAGATAAGTAAATCGTTGTATAGAATTATTCAAATTCATAGTTGTAACTAAATCTCTTGAGCCATTACCAAATATAGAATTCTTTCATTCTAGGTTCTATGCTAAGACTTTTAAGAGTTAAAAAGAATCTAGGGACTGTCTTATTGACTGAAATGATCTTAAGGCTACCACCTAACCCTAGTCTAACCCTAATTATGAGAGCGTACCTATCTTGGAGAAATTTGCATGCTCATTCTCTATGACACAAGAGTTGTTCAGATTCATTAATAATAAAATTATAAGCCTTGCTAGCATGTTCATGTATTATTATTAAAGAATAAATAGAGCATTTTAATTTTTAAGTAATTTTGAAATATTTTTTACAAATGGGTTTTAAATTTCATTATACTGCAGATTCAAATCTTGAATACAGTTTATCAGATGAGTATTGCAAGCATCACTTCTTGGTTGGTCTGCTTCTGAGGGAAACCTCCATTGCTCTTCAAGACAATTATGAGATCAGATACACAGCTATCTCTGTCATAAAGAATCTTTTGATAAAACATGCATTTGACACTAGATACCAGCACAAGGTAAGAATGTCCATGCAACCATCAGTATAGTATTAAATTTGTACTAACATTTCTCCTTAAAGGTGAACTTTTAAGTATGGAATATAACATGAGCACTGGTAAAACCTTATTTTTACAACTAAAATTTGTTTCAGTTACTCATCATTAGGCTTTAAAAATACTGTTCAGTTAACTGTTGAAGGAAAACACTGGTTTTTAAAATCATTTTTTTTAAAGAACAACATGACTGCTTAGTGATTTATTACATAACTGTGATTTTTTAGAAAAAAATCATAGGGTTCCAACCATGTGTACTCTCTCAAACATACACCTTAATTTGGGGTGACTGAATATTATTACCCTATCATAGAAGTGTCCTCTTTTTAATCCGTCCCTAAGTAAATATAAAATTGTTGATTATTAAATGGTTAATATATGTTAAGTATGTCTTATATAAAATATATAATAGGAAGTTTCTCTTCTAACTGAAAAAAAGTTAATGCTGGTGGTGGTACTATCAATAGCTGTGGTGTGACTACAACCTTATGTCGATTACACATGGGTTGTGTGTGAAGGCCACAGCTGTAGTTGTTGTTTGCTGCACCTTTTACATACATTTAGATCCTATTGATATTAAGTTTTACAGACTTGAAAAAAGTCAACTTCAAACTATGAATTTGGAATAACCTAACTTAACCTGGCATCAAATGGATCAAGGTCAAAACATATTGTTTCAAAATTAACTGTTTGTGCTTTCATGTTTATATTTAAATATAAATAAAATCATGATGTCCTTTATCACTGTTATCACTTTGGAAAGCTGACTTGGAGGTTGATTTTATTCTCTGTATACTGTATTCCTGTATGTCTTTTATAAATAGAAAATGTTTTCTGGCTACATGCAATCATATTTCTTTAATTACAAAGATTTTTTTACTTACAAATCTTACTAGCTTTCTTCGTATGATTCTATTCTAAAGTAGATTTAAACTCCTTAGCTTTAAGATGTAATTTTTTTTGCTTATTGCGCTTAATATTATTTTTGTCACATTATAACTTATAATAATATATTCCACTTAGAAAAGTTTGCCCTATTATGTGTCATTTACTTTTCTGTGGATGCTGATAATAGACTTAACACAAGTTAACCAGTATAATACATCCACATTAATAGATATCTTAAAAGTCATACAGTCCAACCGAGCTTGGCCAGGCCTTTAAAAATGCCAGTTACTCCTGGGTTCTGGTTAAATTAACTGCTGCTTATGCCTGGTAGGAGGGAGAGGGTTTTATGCAATGTGGAAGAAAATGTCTTCAGCTGTTATTTCAAAGGATTCACAGGAAAAGTACAAAGTGAACTTTCCCTCCCTGAAGCAGGATGGTATATTTTTCTTAATTTTCCCCCTTCAGAGGGAAGTGAAGGAAAAATGGGATTTCACCAGTGTCTTACTTAAAGGTGGAATGTTAAATATTTTATATCACAAATTTGGACATTATTTACTTTTTAAGTTCTGAGAGCATGTTTAAGGTTTTAGATGATGGGAAAGACTGAAATGCCAAGCTTCATTATTACCCTTTCGGTGACTTCTAAAGCCCTTTCCCCTTTGTTCAGGCGGAAAATAAGTATAGGGGTTTTTTCCAAAAGAACTTTGTTTGCTTCATAAACCTGGTTAACCAAAGTTTCAATTCTAGTATGTTGGATGAGGAAGTAAAATGTCTTCTTTCTTTCTTTGGTGCAAAGAGTTCACAAGTGGCCTGTGTAAGAGGTCATTTGCCAAATACATTTGTGTAAAACGTGTTCCCAATTAATGAAAATGCCCTAATTTCCATCCGGCCCCCAAAGTGACCCCAAATAAGTATACAATCAAGTAAAAAAGAGAAGAAAAAGCGTGGAAAGACTGCTTTGAGACTAGACTCCTAGTCACCCCCCTTCCACCCAGATTGCCACTCCAAAACCTCTCCTCTAAGGGAAGAACACTAACCAGACAATAGATAAGTGGTAACTTCGGTGAAGGGTAAGACAGTACACAGTACTGGGGAACCCAGCACAACTTGTACAAGGCAAAGTCATGGAAGCTCCATAGACACATCCAGACTCCTTGAGGGACCGAATTACTGGCTGAGGGCTGTGGGGACCATGGTCTCGGGGAGCATCTAGCTTAATTGGCATAACACAGTTTATGAAGAAAATGTTCTATGTTCTACCTTGGTGAGTACCGCCTGGGGTCTTAGAAGCCTGTGAGCAGCCATCTAAGATACTCCAATCATCTCAGCCTGTCTGGAGCAAGGGAGAATGGAGAAAACTAAAGACACAAGGGAGAGATTAGTCCAAAGGACTAACAGACCACAACTATCACAGCCTCCACCAGACTGAGTCCAGCACAACTAGATGGTGCCTGGCTACCACCACTGACTGCTCTGATAGGGATCACAACAGAGGGTCCTATATGGAGCTGGACAAAAATGTAGAGCAAAATTTTAACTCACAAAAATAGACCAGACTTACTGGCCTGATAGAAACTGGAGAAGCCCAGAGAGTATGGCCCCCGGACACCCTTTTAGCTCAGTAATGAAGTCACTCCCGAGGTTCACCCTTCAGCCAAAGATTAGCCAGCCCCATAAAACAAAATGAGACTAATGGGGCACAACAGCCCAGGGATAAGGACTAGAAGGCAGGAGGGGACAGGAAAGCTGGTAATAGGGAACCCAAGGTCAAGAGGGGAGAGTGTTGACGTGTCGTGGTGTTGGCAACCAGTGTCACAAAATAATATGGTATTAATTATTTAATGAGAAAATTGTTTGTTTGGTAAACCTTCATCTAAAGTACAATAAAAAAAATAAAAATAGAACAAACGAAATCAATCTCTCATTCTTTACGTCATCCCCCAATTAATCTCTCCCGAAACAGCTACTGTTACCAGTTTTTTTCGTATACTTCTGTTTTATGCACGTACAACCCTATTTGTAATAAATATGTAGTAGAAACCATTATGTCGTTTTTCACTTCATAACGTATCTTGAAGATTAGATCTACCACGGTTTTTAAAATAGCTACGTAGAATACCATCATATGTATATACCTTACTTTATTTATATAACCAGTCTTCTATTCATAAACATTAGGTTGTTTTCTGTATTTTGTGCAGGCAAAACTTTTGACTCTGTTTTGCAATAACTATGTGCTTTCCTGTGTTCCTATTCATCTGAGAGAGTTGTAGTACATCTCCTTCATTAGAGATCACTTACTATCAGAACTAAAATGGACTCCCATCTAGAAGCCATAATATTAATAATAGCAGCTAAAATTTGTTGAGGATGCTGAGTTAAATACCTTACCTGCATTAATATGATTATTTCTTATCTCCATTTTACCAAAGAGAAAACTGTGGTTAAGTGATTTGCTCAGAATCAAGTAGCTAGGAATGGAAAAACTGGGATTCATACCTGGCTAATTCTAAAACCTATGCTCTTGACTACCTGTCTTACAACCTGTTAACCAAACTCATTGCCATCGAGTCGATTCCGACTTATAGCAACCCTATAGGACAGAGTAAAGCTGCCCCATAGAGTTTCCAAGGAGCCCCTGGTGGATTCAAACTGCTGACCCTTTGTTTAGCAGCCATAACACTTAACCACTACGCCTCTAAGGTTTCCCACTGGTCTTATACTGCCTCTCAGATCTTAAGTGGGACACTGAAAATTTAGAGAACTGCCAAAAAAGGGTGATCAAGCTAATGAAAAATCTTGACACCAATGTCATGTGAGGAATGAAGGTAAGTAATGGGGGCTACTTAGCCGTGTGAAGTGTGAATCAAGATGATTCATGATAACCATCTCCAAATATTTTAAGGGTTGCCGTGTAAAAGTGTGAGCAGACTTATTTCTGGCTCCAAAGGGCATAGCTGTACTTAGCAGGTACACTTTACAAGGGCCTTTAGAAAAGAACTCTCCAAAAGGGTGGCAGAGTTTAAGGAGAAGCTAAAAACACCAACCATTTATCAAGGTTGCATGTAAGGTCCATTCCTGCCTTGCAAATAGTGGTCCTCAAACCTATGGGTACATCAGCATCATCTAGGGGAGATTACCAGGCCCCAGCCTAGACCTATTGAATCAGAATTGTCTGGTGATAAAGACTTTTATTGATGGGGTCATATGTTAGAATTAAGTCACTTAAGAAGGGTTCCTGAAATTCACAAAAGAAGAAATACAAATGGCCAAATAACATGAAAATTGTTCAACCTCAACAATAATAAATGCAAATTAAAATGAGACACTATTAATTTTCTATATTCTATAGATTGATCATTGTGCCCTAGAGGCCTTATCTAACTCTCCAGGCAAACCTCCTAAAGTCCTAAAATATGGAGGGCATCTCCTGTGCCATCATGACCACTGTTTTCTCTGATTTGAGTGTGTGTACTTATGTACTTAGACGGATGTCTATAGCTGAGGAACCCAAAAACAAACCCATTGCCGTTGAGTCGATTCCTACTTATTGCGAGCCAATAGGACAGAGCAGAACTGCCCCACAGGGTTTCCAGGGAGCATCTGGTGGATTCAAACTGCCAACCTTTCGGTTAGTAGCCGAGCTCTTAACCACTGTGCCACCAGGGCTCCATAGCTAAGGAAAACAACAAATAAATTTGTATAAGGGGTACCACATTGAGACCACCAGAGGCCAGTTTTATTTACACATTTACAAATATATCAGTCTCCCAAGTCTTATAATTAGGGTGCCAAAATCACATTATTTTAACTGCAGCTTTAATCCAAGCAAAAAATGTTTCTTGAATACATTTATTCACTGTCTTGTCACTTTCATTTATTCATTCATTCAGCTAATGTATGTTGGCCATCTGCTGTGTGCCAGGCACTGAGGATACAACAGTGAACAAGACAGGCACATTCCTTGCTCTCATGAAGCTTAACCTTCACTGGAATTAAAGAACAGGACCAATATTATTTGCCTTATAGGTCAACTTCTATTTAAAAATAAACACGTTTTATTTATGTAGTTAAGTTTGAGGGATATGATTTGACTCTGTATCATATATAAATCCAAATTCCAACAAAGTTTTATGGTAATTAATTTTGAGGCTCTAAGCATAAATAGACTCATGCTTCACTAATTTGATATGGATGTTATCCAGCTTTTAATTTATAAACTGATGTGTGGAGCCAACCTTGTTTGTTGTAACATATACAAATCATATAGCTATTATAACTTTTGATAATTATTTTTCAGAACCAACAAGCCAAAATAGCACAATTGTACCTCCCGTTTGTTGGACTGCTTTTGGAAAATATACAGCGATTAGCAGGTCAAGATACTTTGTATTCTTGTGCAGCCATGCCTAGTTCTGTAAGTAATGACGTGTTTCTGTTGGAATGTTGCTAGTTTATCCTGTGTTATTGAATGTATTTGGAATTGTGGTCATGTGCTATATGGTCTCAACCTTAATAGTTGAGGGTTTTACTCCATTTTTATATTTGCACTGTTTTCCCTAAGCAGTGCTTCTCAAACTTGAATGCGCATGTGAATCACCTGAATCTAATTCACCAGCTGTGAAGTAGAATTGCAATTTGTTCAAATGCAGATTGTAGTTCGGTAGGTCTGGGCAGTGGGGGTGCGGGACTTGAGAGTCTGCATTTATAACAAACTTTTGGTTGCTTCTGGTCCTAGGACCACACTTTCAGTAGCAAGGTCCTAGAGAACATCAAGAATCCCTTGTACCCAGGAGTCCAGTGACAAGGCCCAGAAGGCAGAAGGGGAGTAGGAAGCTGATGATAGGGAACACAAAATAGAGTAAGGATATTGTTGATGTGTTGTGA